ATTGTATTTTCATCGTCACTTCTCAGCCTCGCCGATTTTGTTTCGTTATTTCTAACCTTAGTTCTGAGGGATGCCTATTAGCATGCGAAATGACTTGTTAGGGAGCAAAGTCATCGAAAAATATCTTTGGCATTGGACTCTGGAACATTATCCTTGAATCGTCAAGACTATTTCTTGCACGGTATTCATAAAATAGGTTGTTACTATTTACAATTTAAGTAAACTTACCATTGATTTGCAAATTTATTCATCGACTTAGCGCCCGCTAAGTCGATGACAAGTAAATTTCTATAAGAAATGTACAGTACGCGGCTAAGAAGCATATCCATGTATATCATATGTGGGTTCTTGGGCTCTGCATAAGGGTAAAGTGGCCTCATGGTCTCGGGCATGCGACATCAGGCGATATTTCAAACACAGGGCACATTATTCTTAATTCAAACAAAGCTTGGCCAGTAACTAACATATCTGTTCGTCGCTGACGTGAATTGGTCTGTAAATTTATTTGTGTACATACAACTGTGACATTAATGCTATCAGCTGTTAGTAGCATCTTAAAATATTTCAGAACATTATAGAGTAGTCACTACAATATGTATTGAATAAAAGACTTTCATGTACTTGCTGATTGGGTTATCAGCCAAGTTCTCCATGTTTTTCTTGTTCTAAGTTTGCAGTTTCATAATCAAACACTTTCAGTAAGACGCACGCAGCGAGATACTTGTCATCAGACTTCTCTACGGTAACCGAAAAAAAATCACAGGCGGGAATTGGCAGAAATTCTAATAGAAAAGTAGTGAGCAAGAATAAAAGAAACTTATTAACTACGTGGAGACAAAAAACGCAAGGTGAAGGTGTTACAGCGCCAAAATACAAACAAATGAACTCTGGCAAATATGAATAAATTGAATACTTTTATAGTCTTAAATTTATAGTCTTTTTTCCGTTCTGGCTCAAGATGATTGGGTAGGGAGAATTCGAAACATCTGTATTATAAACTGAAAGGACTGTCATGGATTTTATGGATTTTCTATCGAAAAGTGTTTTTTTTTAAACCTTCTATAGTTTTTAGATTAGGTTATGTAAACACAAATGCCCGTAATCTGTTCATGTTGTCCTTCAGCAGCATAATTAAAACAAAACTGTTCTAATGATTACATCCCTGATGATGCCGTTGATTGGCGAAAGCTTGGATTTTAGATTTTACTCATTAGAACAGTTTCACAAATACCCGTATTTCCTGCTTCTGTTAAGATATTTTTTTGAGACACGCACGAATCTTAAAAGTCACAACGGTGTTTAACTAATAATCCCCAATTGATATTTTTCTTTATTCTCATCACTTCTATGCTTGATATTGTATTGATATTGTAAGGAGAAATTCTCTCTTGGGAGTTAAAGGGTTAATTAATCCGTCAATGCTCTAAAATGAATATTGGGGACAGTACGAGAGTCGGGACAAGAAGGTGGTGAAGCAAAAGATATGATGATTAGGACAATCAACAGCTCTGTGTGTCGGTTTTATAGCTTTGAACATTTCTGAGTTGTAATCTGCCAGACCACTACGTTTAATAATCAAATTTTGCCTAGTCTAAGATCGAAACCACCGACAAGAATGATTTCCATCTCTACTTTGAACTAAACAACACCTTCGCATGTTCTATTGTCATCATGGTTCCCTCTCGCTCCAAAGCCGATTCTAGAATCAGTGCTTGTGCAGTCTTTTCCATTATTTCTGAGAATACCAACTCTTGCTCTGGGCTGATCTTCATGCCGAGGCATATGTTGGGGAAGGGTGTGTTCCATTAGGTAGTTCGAGTCTTGAATCATGTTACAAATAGGATTACAGGCCATCATTTGGTCGTATAGTTTGGTGAAAGCAAGGGGAAGGGGATTTGTCGCTATTCACGGTCAGCAAAATGAATGTAGCAGTGATACAAACTTGACGGAATACAGTTGTCATAGTTTTATGCAAATAGGAAGACTTTGTGAATGTTCTGTCCAGCCCTCTTATGGGTAGCAAGCGTGTAACCGTGTCCCTGTGTATTGTGTCTCAGTAAATATTTACCGGACTCCAAAATATTCCTACTGTCGGTAGCAATCCAATAACCTTTGTTCTAAATTTAAGCCGCTGGCGAGATCTTGGCTTCTATAATTTTGAAGAGGTTATTTCTTTCGCTCAATTTTTCTTCAAGTTTCATATAGCAAGAATATATTTTATCGGTTGCTTATCCGTGGCTGAGTAAATTAGAGAATACTTTACTAGTAATTCAGTCTTAGGGTTGAGCAAACACACAACGTCTTACTCCTGCGGAAAAAAATGTGCCGAAAGCAGTTTCGCTCGCCTCGCTCAGTTGTGATCGTAAATCAAATTTTTCTTAATCCCCGTCGATTTTAAAGTTTTCAACGACTGAATAAGCTAAGGAAGCCTGTTATCTGCTCTTTTTCACTGAAAATGCAACAGCGAAAAAATATAATAATTGCATTTCTGCCGTCTACTTTTAGCTCAGGAGATTTTGTCCTTTTAGTTAAGCTTAGGTCTTACGATTGGTTACTCGTATACGAGATGATCAGGCAGAGAGCCAGTTCGTCGAAACTTTTATCTGGTCTATGTATTATTTCTAAAATATATACATGTATGATTTATTTTGCAGTTTTCGTAAAATAGTTTGTTACTATTTACTACTAAAGTAAACTTAAATCATTGATTTGCAAATTGACTGCTCGCTTAGCCGATGAAACTTCAAATTCCCTTACAAAATCTACAGCGAACGGCTATGATGCGCATGCATATTATCTCTCGGTGAACTCAGGTTGGGGAAAACCAGCATACAGCAAGTGCCCTCATGGTCTTTAATATGCAACATCAGGCGAGGAATGTTTTTTTCCAAACAAAGTTTATCGGCCAGTAACTCATCTGTTTGTCGCAGCCGTGAACCAGTTTGTAAACTTACTGATGTAAATAGGAATGTGTCATTCTATCACGGTTGTCAGTGGCGCCTATGACACATTTTAGAGCATTTTAAATATACACAATACGAGTAAGTTGAAAGACTAGTTACTAAGACATGTATTTAGAAACAAATTTGATTTACTGATCAAGAAACTTTCTCATTCCTTTTCATGCGCTAAGTTCTGGAGATTTTTCCACTTTCAGTTGGACGCAGCAAGTGACCTGTAACCAGACTTTTCTACGATAACCGAATAAATTCACAAAGGTGTCTCGCAGAAAGAAAAACAGAAGAGGAGTAAGCAAGGTTGAAAGAAACTCATTAACCATGCATTAAGAGAAACAAGATATGTTTTGACAGCGCCGAAATACAAACAAATGAACAATTCCAAATATAAAAGGCCCTTTGATTCACCTACATTTCTTTTCCATTTCTCAAGACGAGTGCATCGGGAGAACGCAAAACATCCGTAAAGAAAAAAAAAAGGAGCCGCCGTGGATTTCACGGAGTTTCTATTGAAAATTATGCCAACGCTGTAAGTGTCAGCGCAGAAAAACTTATCTTTATGGCTTCTGTTAGGATATTTCTTAAGACACCGCGAATCTAAAACGTCACAGCCGCTTACTGTCGTCTGAACACTTTTACTGACTTATGATAGCCCGTGTAAGATTTCGGTTATTGCATTAAGATTGAAAGGCAGAATATTTTAGGATATTTCTGTTAATTAACTGGCAAAAAAACAAATAAAAATCAGCAAAACGGACACGTTTGTGTTAGCAGGCCATAAAAATTATGACGGCGTTCCATACGCTCTTGGAACCCACAAACACTGCTGGATTTTGTTGAACCGCTCCTCATGGTTGGAAAATTGGTCCGGATACGTTTCTTTGGTGATCAAAGATCACAATGCATTTGCTTCAATCAAGGGGATTCTTAATAGAAGGAAACGTTGGGGAGTTTTGGAGAAACATCTTATACTCTTTTGATAAATTGCAAAAGGGGCTTAAAAGGGTCAGTTCTTCCTCTTCCATCAACATCATCTCAAATCGTAGTTTAGGATGACATTAGGCTATGTTGCGAATTATTCACTGGATCGTATCACAAAGGTGTTTACGTCATTGACAAGGAATATTCTTTTTGCGCCAATTTTTTAAATTCATGTCAAATCCCAACCTCCAGTAACACAACTATATAGTCATGACCGTCAAAAATTGTTGGAAAAGAATTTGATCAGAAGCCGGATTACAACGGTAAACTACCGAAAGTCCAAACCAGTAAAACGGTATCAGTTTTGAACGACTTTTTTTTTTAATAGCTTTAACCCCTATATCTACATCTACATATATTTGAGTTCACTCTGGGAATTGCTCGAAAGACATGTCACGGATGGTTCAACGATTCCCTTGTCACTGCACCAAGATATATCCCATAGCTTTGATGTGTTTCTCTCCATTGTCTGATGTGTGACCTTTTATTGCATCATTTCCACAAGTGATGGTGTCATCCTGATATCCTCCTGTTCCAAAGCCGATTCTGGAATCAGTGGTCGCGCAGTTTTTTTCATTATTTCCAAGAATACCAATTCTTGCTTTGGAAGAGCCTTTGGAACTGCCCGCAGCATTGAAGCCTTCCTTGTTACAGTTGGCCTGTAAGGAGGATTGCGAGCCGATCAACTTCTTCCACGTGTTGCGACCCAGTGCAGTGTTGCGGTATTTTCCATCAGCGATCAGTGAGTGGAGAGAGCTTGCCTGCTTGTTGATGACAATAAACCTGAGCTGTTGGTTGATTTTCATACCGAGGCATATCTTGGAGAAGGGTGTGTTCCAGTAGGTTGGTAATTTGGTCTCCTCTGAGTCAAAGCCAGTCTTTCCTCCGGGAAGGTTGTAGATATTTTTGTCGATCCAAAACTTGGAATCATAATGGAAGGTTTTCTGAAATGTTGAGAAAAGGAAAGTTATAGTGGTGTATAGTTTACAACAGTGGTATTCCTTGATAGTAAAGTAGCATACCTTCTTGCCGTCAATCTTCATGGCCAAAGTCCATCCTCCATCTCCGCATCCAAAGCTTCCCATGTGACAGTAAACAGGAACGTTTTGTGAACCAAACATCAGGGGGTAAACTTGACTCTTTGTCGACCTGTGGACAACAGAAATACTAGTGTTCACAAAATTCATTATCGCCATTGTAAAAAACCAAAAGGAAGCGCCTAAAAAAGATCAACTTATCTTAAATATAACAGCACAGGATATATTTGCATTAATTTTGTTATGATTGTATCACTATTCATTTACTTGTATTTTTCGTAGTGTTCCTTGCATGACGACGCTGGTGAAATGAAAAGAACAGTGCAGGTTAATATTTAAAAAATTAGCCTTTATCATTCTTAAACGCTTAATACTAATTACGAAGAATGGAAAGCAGGGTTTGAAAACAAAAGCGAGCACCGTTTGTGTGGCTTTTGAAACAATCGCACATGTTCTTTTAGCCCTCAAATCAATAGCGCGAGTTGCTATGCAAGACGCTTAAATTCCTCCAGTCTGGTTGGACTACCTGGAAGTGGAGGAGAACGATTCTTCATTGCTGCAGTAAGACTTTCGAGTCTGGTTTGTAACATTTTCATGGCATCATTGGCGTCCGAGTCTTGAATCATGTTACAGATAAGGTTACAGGCCATCATTTGATCGTATGGTTTGGCGCAAGCTGGAGAGGAGGATTTGTCTCCATTTACGGTCAGCAAAAGGAAGACAGCGGTGATACAAACTTGGAACAGCCCACTCATTTTGACGAGTTGTCGTAGCTTTATGAGAATAAGAGGACTCTGTGAATCTTTTGTCTGTTATGAGTAGCTAGCTTGTAACCTTATGTATGTGTATCAGCAAATGTTTACCTGACTCGAAAATATTCTTGCTGTTGGCGGCAATCCAATGACCCTGTTCCGAGTTTTAACACAATAGTCAATATTTAGTTTTCATAACTTTGATGAAGTTATTTCTTTCGTTCGCTTTAGTTTTTTTTCTATTTTATTTCATCAAGTACCAAAATTTATTTACATGGCTTGCTTCTTCCTCGGCTGGGTAAATTAAATAGTGTACTAGTAAGCCAGAGCAAAGAAATCAGACAACCCGTTTCTCCTAAAAAAGGTTAATTCCAGTTGCAATTTCGTATGCTCGGTTCAGTTTTTGACATCAGTTTTCGTATCAAATCGATATCAGAGCTTTTAAGGGCTGAGCACGCAAAGGAAGCCTTTTTTAATTCCTGATGCGGATTGAAAGCTAATGTTTATTGTATTTTCATCGTCACTTCTCAGCCTCGCCGATTGTGTTTCGTTATTTCTAAACTTAGTTCTGAGGGATGCCTATTAGCATGCGAAATGACTAGTTAGGGAGGAAAGTCATCGAAAAATATCTTTGGCATTGGACTCTGGAATAGTCATGATCAAACTTAATAACTACGTGGAGACAAAAAAATACAAGATGAAGGTGTTACAGCGCCATAATACAAACAAACGAACTCTGACAAATATGAATAAATTGAATACTTTTATAGTCTTAAATTTATAGTCTTTTTTCCTTTCTGGCTCAAGATGATTGAGTAGGGAGAATTCGTAACATCTGTATTACAAACTGAAAGGAATGTCATGGATTTTATGGATTTTCTATCGAAAAGTGTTTTTTAAACCTTTTCTAGTTTTTATTAGGTTATGTAAACACAAATGCCCGTCCTTACTGCTTCTGTTAAGATATTTTTCTGAGACACGCACGAATCTTAAACGTCACAGCCGTGTTTAACCAATAACCCCGAATTGATATTTTTCCTTATTCCCATCACTTCTATGCCTGATATTGTAAGGAGAAATTCTCTCTTGGGAGTTAAAGGGTTAATTAATCCGTCAATGCTCTAAAATGAATATTAGGGACAGTACAAGAGTCGGGACAAGAACGTAGTGAAGCAAGAGATATCATAACGATGATCAGAACAATCAATAGCTTTGTTCTAGGTTTGTTCATTTCTGAGTTGTAATCTGCTAGACCGCTACGTTTAATAACCAAATTTTGCGTAGTCTAAGATCAAAACCACCGACAAAAATTGTTTCCATCTCTATTTGGAACTCAACAACACCTTCCCATGTTCTGTTGTCATCATGGTATCCTCCCGCTCCAAAGTAGATTCTAGAATCAGTGCTTGTGCAGTCTTTTTCATTATTTCCGAGAATACTAATTCTTGCTCTGGGCTGATCTTCATGCCGAGGCATATCTTGGGGAAGGGTGTGCTCCAGTAGGTTGGTAATTTAGTCTCCTGAGAGTCCGAGTCTTGAATCATGTTACAAATAGGATTACAGGCCATCATTTGGTCGTATAGTTTGGTGAAAGCTGGGGAAGAGGATTTGTCGCCATTAACAGTCAGCAAAAGGAATGTAGCGGTGATACAAACTTGACGGAATACACTCATTTTGACGAGTTGTCATAGTGTTATGCGAAAAGGAAGACTTTGTGAATGTTCTGTCTAGCCCTCTTATGAGTAGCAAGCGTATAACCGTGTTCCTGTGTATTGTCTCTCAGTAAATGAGCTGGTAAGATCTTAGCTTCTATAAGTTTGAAGAGGTTATTTCTTTCGCTCAATTTTTCTTTAAGTTTCAAAGACCAAGAATATATTTTCATCGGTTGCTTATCCCTAGTTGTGTCAATTAGAGAATAATTTATTGGTGATCCAGTCTTAGGGTTGAGCAAACACAAAGCGTCTTACTCCTGCGAAAAAAAAAATGCCAAAAGCAATTTCGTTCGCCTCGTTCAGTTTTGATCCTAAAATCAAATTTTCCTTGATCCCTGTCAATTTTAAAGTTTTCAACGACTGAATAAGCTAAGGAAGCCTTTTTCTCAGCTCATTGTGCACACTGAAAATGCAACAACAAAAAAATACAATAATTGCATTTCTGCCGTCTATTTTAAGCTGAGGCGATTTTGTCCTTTAGTTTAAGCCTAGGACTCGTATACGAGATGGTCAAGCAGAGAGCCAGTTCGTCGAAACTTTTCTCTGGTCTATGTGTTATTTCCATAAAATAATTACATTAATCATTTATTTTGCGGTTTTCGTAAAATAGTTCTTTACTATTTACAACTTAAGTAAACTTAAATAATTGATTTGCAAATTTACTGCTCACTTGGCCGATGACGCTTTAAAATGGGCTCAGTGTCGGGGAAAACCAGAATACAGCAAGTGCGAAATCAGGCGAGGAATGTCTTTTTTTCGGTTGAAACAAAGTTTTTCAGGCCAATAACACATCTGCTTATCGAAGCTGTTAATTAGTTTGTAAACTTACTTGTGTAAATAGAAATGCATCATTCTATCACGGTTGTCAGTGGCGTCTACGGAACATTTTAGAGCATTCTAGCCATGAGTAAGTTGAAAGACTAGTCGCTAAGACATGCATTGCGAAATAAATTTGATTTACCGATCAACAAACTTTCTCATTCTTTTTCAGAACAGACAGACAGAAAGAACAGAAAAGGAGTAAGCAAGGCTGAAAGAAACTCATTAACCATACGGTAAGAGAAACAAGATATGTTTTCACGGTGCCGAAATACAAACAAATGAACAATTCCAAATATAAAACGCCCTTTGATTCACTTCCAATTTCCTTTCCATTTCTCAAGACGAGTGCATCGAGAGAACGCGAAACATCCCCACATAAAAAAAAGAAAGGGGCAGCCATGGATTTAAAGGAGTTTCTATTGAAAATTCTGTTAGCACTTTGAGTGTCAGCGAAGAAAAACTCGTAACTCATCTTTATTGCTTCTGTTAAGATATTTCTCAAGACACCCGCGAATCTAAAACGTCGAAGTCACAGCCGTGTTTATGTACTCTCATCTGAACAATTCTACTGACCAATGAGAGCGCATGTAAGATTTCGGTTTTCGCATTAAGATTAAAAGGCAGAAGATTTTAGGATATTTCTGGTATTTCATTGGCAAAAAAACAAAACAAAACAAAACAAAAATCAACGTGACGGTCACGTTTGTGTTAGCAGGCTACAAAATTTATGACAGCGTTCCGCACGCTCTTGCAATCCACAAACATTGCAGGATTTCGTTGAACCACTCCTCATGGTTGCAAAATTGGTCAAGATAAAATTTCTTGGTCATCAAAGATCGCAATGCATTTGCTTCAATCAGGGGTTTCTTAATAAGGGAAAACGTCAGGGAGGTTTGGAGAAACATCTTACACTTTCGATAAATGGTAAAAGAGGCTCTAAAGGGTCAGTTCTTCCTCTTGAATACACTAACAACTATGTCTCTACATCTGGAAAACTTTTTTCAGGATTTGAATCATTCCTAGTAGTAGCAAATTGTTCAACAACCGCGAAAGTGACCAACTGGAGATGAGTACAAAAACGCTGTCTTTGTGTACCAACTTATAACGAGTGACACTCAGAATAAAAGTGTTGTCATGAAGGAGAATTAGAATTTAGACCTTAGAGTAGCAACGTCTTCCGTGTTGAGATTTTATCGCTAATGAAATATCAATAGGAGTATTATTGTGCGCAATTTTAGTGAAGGGATAATCAGTTTTCGATCATAAACTTTTCTTACTGTTCTCTATTGTATCCCATAACTTTGATGTGCTTCTCTCCACTGTCCGATGTGTATCCTTTTATTGCATAATTTCCACAAGAGATGGCGTCATCCTGATATCCTCCCATTCCAAAGCCGATTAAAGAATCAGTGGTTGCGCAGTCCTTTTGATTATTTCCGAGAATACCAATTCTTGCTTTAGAATAGCCTTTGGAACTGCCCGCAGTGTTGAGGCCTTCTTTGTTACAGTTGGTCTGTGAGGAGGACTGTAAGCCGATCAACTTCTTCCACGTGTTGCGACTCAGTGCAGTATTGCGGTATTTTCCATCAGCGATCATTGAGTGGAGAGAGCTTGTGGAGAGAGCTTGCCTGCTTGTTGATGATAATAAACCTGAGCTGTTGGTTGATTTTTATACCGAGGCAGATCTTAGAGAAGGGTGTGTTCCAGTAGGTTGGTAATTTGGTCTCTTTTGAGTCAAAGTCAGTTTTTCCTCCGGGAAGGTTGTAGACGTATTTGTCGCTCCCAAGCTTGAAATCATAATGGTAGGTTTTCTGAAATGTTGAGAA